GGGGGGGGGGGGGGGGGGCAAGGCGTGGTGGTAACAACATGATATTAAACATGAAAAATCTACTTTTTTTTGGTTCTATAGCAATTCTTCAATTAGTTTTTTTTTCAAATGAGCCGGAAAGGATTTAACATGAACTTACGGATTCAGGCATAGCAAGGCTATATCATTTGATATATAGTCACAAACATTGGATGAAAGAGATTACTAAAATCATTATGGTTGGAAAATACCAAAATTCCAACCCAATTGCAACAAACTTTCCAGGTTAGGATTACGCGCAATCTGCAATGACACAAATGACACAAATGAGCTCAATCCGACGTGATTCAGTAAACTTCAAAATGTCAGAACATTTCACGAACGAAACATTGCAATTTAGGCCTGTTTTATACGGCGAATTTTGGTCGTGTTGAGCAATTAATACAATAGATAATGAGTTGATAAACCTCATTAAGCTTCAGTATCTATTGTTTGAATTGCATTCGACGCGGACCGAAATGCGACATATAGGCCTGTTCATATGTGCAAGCTGAGTTATCCCAGTTAGTGAGAAAACTTTTCGACAAGTTTACAAGCGAGATCTCGCCTTGTTATGCCAATAATATGAAAAGTTACACTGCGTTCATATGAGACGAAAGTTCTCCCTATACCGAGATCTCGCTTGTTGACAGGCGACATCTCGGTGACCGGGATAGTGTTTTTCCCATATGAACACAACTTTCCCGCTTAGTGGGATAACTCAGCAACTTTTTCGTGTCAGCAACTTTTCAATTCAATTCATGTTCAGTGTTACGTCACAGCCGGAAACTTTACCCGGAAAGCGGGATAATGTTTCTTCATATGAACAAAACAAAATTAAAGTATTTGGCTAGTCGAAAAGTTTTCTCGTTAACCGGGATAACTTTTGCCCATATAAAACAGGCCTAAATCTGTATATAGAGGGTCCTGAAGGGGTAAAATGGGAACTGGGATTTGCTTATTTTTGGGTGGGAAAATGAGATTTCATGCACTGGGACTGGGATTCATCAGCAAAAAAACAATAGAAAATGGGAATGGGATTAAGATTTGAGCAGGACAGCCACTGAGATGATGGGATTTGTGCTCTGGGACAATGGGATTTAGTCAAAATTTGGGCTGGGAAATGGGAATACGACCCCCCCCCCCCCTTCAGGACCCTCTATATATTGTAATATACACAAACGTAATACAAGTCCATAAAGAGATAAATGTTCAACTTAGGTAACAGTAGCACAAACTTTGTAAGTTCTTTATAGAGTAGATCGCTAGGCGTAACGCTGAATATCGCCCGTATTCTAAAAGCTCACTCACGCACACTCACACTTAATGAGTGGAGGTTCAATCTGAGCTTCTCTCGAGTGTCATTGCTGTTTTTGAAAGCTGGAGGGCTAGTGTCGTACCTTACTATGTGACTGCTCACCCTCCAGCTATTCAAAAACAGCATTGACACTCGAGAGAAGCTCAGACTGAACCTCCACTCATTGAGCCGTGTGAGTGTGAGTGAGCTTTTAGAATCCGGGCGTAAATCATGTGAATATATAGTGAGAGTTAGCAACGAGGCTTCGCGACCAGCTGCTTCGCTTATTTAGTATAGGTTGATATCCCTGTTTTCATTTGATGAAAATGTTTGTAAACATTGATTTTCCCATTTGTATTGTAGGTTGATTTCGATTAAGAAGAAAAATCCCATTCCCATTTCCAAACGTTTCTATCTCTTTCCCAGTGGTGAAATCCCGGTCCCAGTGCATTGCCATTTTTGTTGAACTTTATTCTTTGTACGTACTTAGATCGTGGTTGCCCTAAAGAGGAAGATGGAATTTGCAAGAAGCGCGTTCGAGAAAACTGCACTATTGCAAGGGTCCAATTTCAATGCCCAAAATTGTGTGGAGTCTGTGGTAAATATCACTCCCTTAACCTTAACCCCAATGTCTTGAGAACGGACAACAATCGATATCTGCCCGATTTTCAAGTAGAGTTGCCTGAATTTTAACTTTTATCTGCCCGACTTAGTGAAATGAATAACTGAAATACTACTCTCAGATAAACTGCCTATTTCCTCCTTGAAACCAAATCTGACCCACAGACACGCGTATGGGGGAGGGGGTCAAGACCCACGTGTTTATGCCTCGTGATTTTCTCGCGAGGGGTCTCGCGAGCATACCGTTTTAATAAGAAGCCCCTCCATCCCAAGAAGCCCCCTCTCTGGTACGCATATGCATCGAATACACTGTGTTTCGTCCAATGTGTGGCGAGGAAAGAATAACAACCTAGTTATTTGTAAATAATGTATTATACAACTAAATAATGGAAAATTCGATATATTTTTGCTGATAACATTTTTTTTACATTTTGCGCCCCATAAAATGTTATTTGAATGTGTATTTCTGTCTCTAGACATGTAGTATTAACTATTGTGAAGCATTTTTAGTGTCTTTGTCTGGCGCACAGAATTCTACCATATATTTCAAAATTAATGAAATTATGTTTGTTTAGGTAGGTTGTAAAGATAAGGTGGCTCCTTGCAGTTGTAAAGAAACGGCAGCGAAAACTAAGGTCTTCACAATGATGCAGAGACAATGATGCAAAATAATGGAGATTTTTTAGACGTAGAAACGCTTTCATCATCTTTAAACTTCAAGCATCATCGTTCGAAAAAAGCAAATTGCGTATTGCTATGGTAACAATGTGGCCTAAGCGATAGCAGATTAAGATCAAAATTTGGACTAAAATTAAATGTATTATAAATTTTCCTTCGGTCAAAGTTAATTCTGAAATTTTGTAGGTGTAAAGAGAATATGTGGAGTATTTGAGATATTACACGAAATTTGTTCCACAAAAACTGTTTATAGAACTTTTCAAAAATCGAGTATATTGCAACAAATGACTAGTACTTTTAAAATACAAAATTGCAGAAATATTGAGCGAATGAAAAAAAATTCAACTCGACAAGATCACGTCATTTTGTTGCCAGTTCCATGCTTAAAGGTCCTTAAACAACTGTAGGGAGCCACCCTAATAAAAAAGCAGTTTTTAATAAGATTGTTGGAAGTGTATCAAATCATTGTGCCTAAGAATCAGTTTCAAAACTGAACATACAAGAAATGAAGATTCAGAGGGTCAAAAATACGCTTTAAAACCACCATGGTTAAAAACTCCCTGGTCAATTTATACTAATTAACACTGTTTGGGGTAACTTGGTGTTCCTCATTAATTAAATTTCCAGAATAATTTAACCACAGTCCTGGTTAGTTTGATTATGATTGATTCACCGTACCTAACACAATTTAGTTAATGCAAGCATATAGCCTGGATAAATTATACCCGTAGGAATCCTGGTTAATTAAATTATCCAGGTGCCCAAGGCTGTAACTAGACGGGATAATTGGGGGTGGAGGGTGTATTCATATATTCATGTTCACATACATGTAACGTAAAAACAATCGCTTTCAAAAGAAATCCGTTGGGCAGAACACGAATATATGAATATACCCCCCCCCCCCCCCGCATTATCGCGTCTAGGAACGGCCCTGCATGTGCCCAGGACTATGGTCAAATTAATTAACCAGGAATGTGGTTAAATTATAACCAAGCAACATTAAGTTATACCCCAAACAGTGTTAATTTTAGATTTCCTTTTATTAGAGTATACGACCCGTCAAACTTCTTACTTGTCAGGACAACTTGCTAGCCCACTAGCTATCTTTTACACTATACACGTTGTTAGTTTCTATCTATTTTATACTCTCGATGATTTTCAGCACCGTTCTCTCCGAAGTGTCCTGAAGAGTACCCATTTGGCTGCTGTTGGAACGGCGATAAAGCTACTGACATTGACAAGTCTAACTGTCCACGTATGGCATTCTTTTTTTTTAATTTTTTTATTAATTTATTTATTTCGCCCAATTTTCCGAAGTACAACAAAATTTAAGCATTCACATTTTTATAATCTATACGTAGGGCTGGAGATCTTTTAGAAACCTTTTTGGAGATTTTATTTTACGACCCCTAGTTATAACAAAACTTTTTTTTACTTATATAGTATAATTTCATGATGTCATAAAAATAGTATATAATATAATAACGAAAATATATACAATCGTGAGAGTATTTAAAGGAAAGTTAGTCTATTTACAAGATTTTTCAGATTTTTTCTATAAAATTAAGTCATTTAGAAATTAATGTATATATTCGAGAAACTGAGAAAGTTATCCAAAATTTAGAATAACCGGCGCTTATACCTATTCACTGGGATTGCCGTAGTTGTGAACTTGCATGAGGTCAAAGCTCGACAATCGGACTACAGTTAGTGAGAGTGCTGCACCAGAATCGCAGGACTGCAGGTGATTCCTGTTGGAGGGCCTATATAGTTGTATTTTTCGCCACTGCTCCTGGTTAGAAAGCATACTGAATTGAAAATACCCCTGTCGATATTTCACTCAACAATATTGCAGCTAATTAACATTCAACTTACACTGAAAAAAAATTGTAAATCCATATAGAAGGTCTTAGAATGGAAATTGTATGGACCTTTAATGGGAATAGAATGGATTTTGGTTATCCATAATATAATCGTATATTTGTATATTGGATATAGTATCGAAATAGCATGGATATACTATGGATTTAGCCGGTGCAATTGCAAATTTCATAGTGTGGATTTCACATTTTTTCCCCAGTAGAATAGCTATATAGTGTGTTTTAGATAGAGTGATGTCAGTCGAACAGGTGTAATTAAGGAAGGCTTAGCGATATAGATGGTAAATAATATAATGTAATGTAATGTAATGTAATGTAATGTAATGTAATGTACTAATGTAATGTAATGTAATGTAATGTAATGTGATGTGATGTGATGTAATGTAATGTAATGTAATGTAATGTAATGTAATGTAATGTAATGTATTGTAATGTAATGTAATGTAATGTAATGTGACATTTCATTCCGGAGATTATAGGAAAATTTCTTGAGGTTAACCATTGTTAGTATAATTACATAGGTGATTATTGAAAATTCTCCACGTTGATTGGTTGCCGTTAAGGTGATTATTACGCGATAATCACCTAAGCGATTTTCAAAATGGCGGCCGAAGCCGTTTTGTCGGTTAAATGACGAAGAAATGTGTATTTTTTATTTCTTTCTAAATAATCACCTATGAAATTATACTAAAACAATTATTCACCTCAGGCTCGGTGATTATCGTGAATAAAAACCTCGACTTCGTCTAGATCTCGGTTTTTATTCACCGATAATCACCTCGCCTTCGGCGAATAATTGTTAATTGTCACTGGATTTCGTCTGTGATATAATCTTGAACTGTCTGTATCAGTGTGGGTAATGTTAATAATTTCCGCAGTAACTGTTGCTAGTGAGTATTAATAATATTGGGCCGGCACTACCTACGCAAAAACGCACAAGTTGTTACAAGTCTGCAAACAAGTTATTACAAATATGCTCACAAGTTGTCAACAAGTTGTCTTTGCATTGTTAACAACTTGTAACAAGCTTGATGGCTAATTATCAGACTTGTTACAAGGTTGTTCTAACAAGTCTGATACAATGAGTATCATGATAAAGTTACAAGGTTGACGACACATGGTTGTAACAATACTGCTATAAGTCATGACTGCATCGGACTTGTTGGAACAACCTTGTAACAAGCCTGATAATATCAACAAGGTTGTTACAAATTGTTAACAGCTCGTTCCGAACTTGTTGACACCTTGTGACAAGCAGTGCGAAGACAACTTTTGACGGCTTGTTGACAAACGTGTTTTATTACAAGATGTGAGATTTTTGCGTGTGTACATTGGCACAGACAGTCCATAATATACAGCAGACGCTGCCCGGCCAGGGTAAAACATATTTAATATTTAGAAAAGTTCTCCGACTGTAAATATTTACAGCATTTGTTACAAGCTTTCGGCTATGACTATGAGTCTATAGCCTTCGATCTGATAAAATAATTTTGAAGGACGCTAAATTTGGTGGCATGAAGTCTGAAACTATGCCGACCATGCTATCATAATTATTACCACGTGATTTAATTTAGTGAGGCGGTTGAAAGTTTTACAAAGGAATTTTCTGTTTTATCTTATTTAGAATGTGTGGATAAAAGTACGGCTTGTAATCACGAAGCAATAAAAAAAGATTGCGATTTTTCCAAAATGACTGAAATGACAAGACGGGGCTGTCCCGTGACATGTGGGGCTTGTCGTGATTATGGTATGTAGTTTATTGTCATTATATATATATAACTTACGTGGACGTCAGTTTTTCTATATGTTTTGAGGGCTTATATATCCAGGGATACCCGTGTGCGAGGGGGGGGTGAACTCAAATGTTTGGGGCCCCCTTTCTTTCGCCCCCCCGGGAAATGTTGGCGGGGAGGTCGACGTTTTCTTGCAAAAATAAAACGTTCCAAAAAATTTTTCAAACCTTTGGGATAACGGGGGTTTAAAATGCGTTTTTCAGAGCTTTTTCGACCTCGGTTTTTAAACAATATTCCTGAGTATTTAACACGTTTCGCAATTCCAGCATTTCGGAGCCCCCTCTGGGGAAATTGGGCCCCTTCCTTGACTTCTCTTTGGGGGTGTTACACCCCATACCTCCAGGGTTTATTCCCGAGATATGCAGTTTTTGGTTATAATGTCACCTTTCTTTCGCCTGTGGCTAGACGAGTGCTACTGCATATAGTTTGACTACAGTATACTAGTCACCTTTTGTTTTTCATAAGCTTCGGGTACTTACCGTGACACTGTACCGATTAATGATGGATGAACCTTACTATACAGGGTGTATAAAAAAAAACTGAACAGATTTGAAATTGCTCTCAATTTCGCAAAACACCTATTTGTATCCGGTTTTTTTGTATATATAGCTTCTTTGGGTACTTATATAATGTAGAATAATGAAAAAAAATTCTCAAACTCAAATTTTGTGAACCAGGGGGGATGTCTTTTCCAACAAACTAAAAATGGCTCGCGCACAAAATTTAAAAGTTGGAATCATATTTTGAGTTAATAGATAGAAACTTTGTTAGGTTTTTAATTACTGTACAAAATTTCAGACAATTTGGTTTAGTTTAAGTTTAGTTTAGTTTTACGGAATAAAATGAATAGTTAAAGGCTATTCATTTTATTCCGTAAAAAATCAGCCTTTCGCATGCTTAATTAATGCCTTTACCTAATTTGCATATTGCTAACATATGCAAGCAAAGGTATTAATTAAGCATGCAAATAGCTGATTTTGAGGAAAAATGTAACTTTGCGTGAATAGTTAAAGGGCTTAAACTAAACCAAATTGTCCGAAATTTTGTACAGTAATTAAAAACCCGACAAGTTTTCCATCTATTAACTCAAAATATGATTACAACTTTTAAATTTTGTGCGCGAGCCATTTTTAGTTTGTTGGAAAAGACACATCCCCCTGGTTCACAAAATTTGAGTTCAAAATTTTTTTTTCATTATTCTATTTTATAAGCACCCAAAGAAGCTACATATATAAAAAACTGGATACAAATAGGTGTTTTGCGAAATTGAGAGCAATTTCAAATCTGTTCAGTTTTTTTTTATACACCCTGTAGACCATGCACTGGGAAGAATAGTTTAGAACTGATAGGGCTGCCCAGTAGAAATAAAATTACTTCAGTTTAGGGGCGGAACATTAGAAAAGTGATGGGGGGGGGGGGGGGGGAAAGCAAAGAAAAAAATCGCCTGAGCAGGGGAAACAGAAAGAAAAAATAAATCGAGCACGAAAAAAGTTTAAAAAATATATTCGTGCAGAGCCGACTTTTCAATAGGGAAAATTATAAGTTGTGTAAGGGTGGCCCCCAAATTTGGAAAATAAAACGTTTTTTGATATAAGTAATGGTGTGAGAAAAAAGTTTCTAAACCTAAATCTTGAAGATATTGGTGAAAAAAAGGGTTTTAAGCTTGTTTTAACAAAAATTTGTGAGGGAAAATTTTTTTTGAACCTTAACTGATGTCTGTCAGGAAAATTTTTTGGACCCTTTTTTTTAGGGTCCTGAAAAAATGTTAACCTCCCCCCCCCCGAGCAAGGGATTATTTAAAAAAAAATTATCGACAGCTGTTATGGTATTAGTGAGTCATATTTTATCTTCTTTTCATGTGTATTAATATAGGCTTCAAGCCTTGCGAGGATTCCGATCCAAGATGTGCTAAAATGGAGGACACTGCATGCTGTGAATATTCTGAAATTCTCCGCGACCTGTGTAAGAAAACATGCGGAATCTGCTCTTGAACACCTTAACTCTCGTACATTTTCATCAACTGAATCAAATATGTTAGAAATCGTTGTAAATATGCTGCAAATACGCACTATTAACGCATTAGTTAGAAATTTATTTTTTCGTTCTGTTCAATAATACTAATTACAGTCATGTCACACAAATATGTTTACGTTTTTGTTTCCTGCCCATATTTCCTCAAGGCGGGCCAGAAAACGTTGTTTCTTATAGCAACGCAACCTCGCAAGCCAGGGTCTTTTACCTGCGCTTGGGCTGTAGCGCCGTGCGGAAGTAAAAGACCCTGACTTGCGAGGTTGATAGCAACGTTTCCTAAAGGTGGGAAAACCAGGAAATTTGTTGCCTAGCCATGCATGTTCCTAATGCTTTGATGGGCAAACCAGGAAACATTTTCTCCTATTGCCATGTTTCGTGAAGGCAAACCAGGAAATATTTTTCTTTTAGTCTTTAGCCATGTTTCCTGAAGTTGGGCAAACCAGAAAACTTTCAATGAAACATCAAGATTCACTATTTCAACACTAAATAATGCAGCCAGAATTTTTTT